GCCCACGTTCACTACTTTTTAATTCTGTGCTTACCAGCTTTTACATTTCTCAAGAATGTGTGGTACAGTTCTGGGTGAATGAACTGATTGCTGGATTGCTGTTTGATTTTAGGTATTCAGAACCTTTGATCACATGGCCCGTCAAGATGATGAGAAGAGGAGGAAGGAACTTGAAGAGAAACTCAGAAAAAAGGAAGAAGAGGAGGCCAAGGCTGTGGGGACCGCTGCTGCTGAGAAGGAACAAGTCCCAGTCCCAGTTCAGGAAATAGAGATTGACTCTGCCACAGAGTCGGCTGGGCCTCAGGAAATAGAGAAGGTGCAGCCGCCAGGCCTGCAGGATGCGGAGCAGGAGGGGATCCAGGGCTCGAAGGAAATAGAAGCCTCGGGAGCTGTCGCCAGTGCTGCTGAAGTCGCCCCAGAACCCCCAGTGCTCCCCAGGTAGGAATTGCTCCTCTGCAGCTTCTGTCTCTCTCTTCTGGCATCTGGTGGTTGAGTTTGTTCATAATTGGTCTCACTTTGTGAAACACCAGTTCTTTATCTTAGCGTTGTTCAGCTCTCTGTAAATTGCAGTTGCAGTCCTGCAGTTCTAATAGGATGGGGGCTCAGTTGGCTTCCATCTTCCTCCTTTTTCTCCCTGTGAGGAACAGTAATGATCTATGCAGCCAGTTGAGGGCCAGAGCCCAAATTAGGCTCCCCACAAAGACCTCACATTATTTGTGTGTATGGGGTTCAGCATCTCCATTTTTTTGTGTTTTTGATACCACAGATTGAACCCAGGACCTCGGGCATAGGATCTTGATTTTTTTGTTCTTTTCCTTGGAGGAGTCAGTACCTGCTAGGTTGTGTGCCCATGGTGTCCCAAGGTATGACGTGTACCTGCAGAGGCCTGGATTCCTGGATTCACATCCTGCCTCTGGTACTTTCCAAACTCAGCACCTTGGGCAAACAGTAGAACTTTTCTGTGATTCTAATAGTGTGGCTCATTTTAGTTTGTTTGTTTATTTATTTATTTTTGGGTTTTTTGAGCCAGGGTTTCTCTGTGTATTCCAGGCTGGCCTTGAACTCATGGTAGTTCTCTTGGCTCAGCCTCCCAAGTGCTTGGATTACAGGTGTGCATCACACCTGATCTCTTGTGCATTTTAAATGAGCCAAAGGTCAGATAGCTATTGAGTGGCAGAGCTAGATTAGGACACAGGGTTTCCCTGAATCAAGTCCGATTCTATGCTTGTACTCCCATTCAGAACACGTTTCCCAGGTGCTCTGAACAAGTCACTGTCCTCCCTACAGTCGGAGCAAAAGGGGCCAGCAGTGTCTGCAGCACAGCTGTGATCCTGGGTCTGCTTCTTGGAAATCTGCATTCTTTTTTAGTATATGTGCTGTAGAAATGAGCACATCTACATTCTTTTTTGATAAGTTGGCACCCCCAGCCTCTACTTTCCTTTGTTCTTCCCATTCCTTGCACTGTCTGACCTGTTTTCAGGGAGTATTTGAGTATTATTCCTAATGAAGTCAAATGAACAACTTAGGATGACTTATAAAATAAGGAGTAGGGGAAAATGGGTTCTGTAAAGATGCTAGGATGAGGCTAACTGGAATCTTAAAGGTCCAGCTAAATAATGGGGTTCAGAGAAAACAGTTTTTGGGTTTGGTGATCCAAGTTGGTGGAGGAGGGGAGGAGGTCTTGAATATGGGGTTCTGGAAGAAAAGGCGGTGAAATAAGGTTTTGGGGTCTGAAAAGGGAAGATGGTATAGGACAGAGTGGCAGATTTGGTATTTCCTTTCTTAATATTTCATGTAGAGCAGACCTGCAGGTGAGGAATTCTTTCAGCTTTTGTTGTCTGAAAATACATTTATTTCATCATCATTTCTGAGGCTGTTTTTGCTAGGTATAGAATTTCAGGTTGCCCCCCCCCCGCCCCCCATCATTTTAAAGAATGTCATTCTGAGGCTGGGGATTTAGCTCAGTGGTGCTGTGCCTGCCTCACAAGCACAAGGTCCTGAGTTCAATCCCCACTACCAAAAAAAAAAAGGATGTCATTCTGTTGTCTTTTGGCTTGCATTGCTTCTGATAAGTTTGTCAAGATTTTTTGTTCCCTGTATGTGATAAAACCCCCAGTCCCACCTCTGGCTGCTTTACTATACTCTATTTATCATTAGTTTCAGTCCTTTTTGATTTGCTCTGGTGGTTTTGTGTGTATCGTCCCTTTTCTCTTTGCACTTCCTTTGGCATAGTTTCTAGCATCCTGTCTTCAAGTTTGCTATCTTTCTTCCTTTGGTGTCTAATCTTTAAACTCATCCAATAAGTTTTTTGTTTCAGATATTGTGTTTTTCAGCTCTGCAAGTTCCTTTTGATTTTTTCTTATGGCTTTGATTTCTGCCTTTGTTGTTTTCCTTTAAATCTTTTTATTTATATGTATCTATTTAAAGTCTTTATCTTCTGATTCCATTTTCTGTCATTCTTTTTGGTTTGTTTTTGTTTACTGAATTGTGTTCTGATTTTGGAATCACATCTCCTTTATGTGTCTGGTAACTGTTGATTGGATGTTAGACACACATATTATCTGTTCAGTCTTTTGAATTTTGTTTTCTTCCTCTGAAGAGTTGTTGCGGGCAGTTAATTTGTTTGCAGGTCAGCCTGATCTTTCAGAAGCTTGCTCTTAAGCTTTGTTAAGGCATGTCCACGTTCCCATTTATTCTGGGCCAGTTTAGCCTTCTAACACGTGACCTTTTAGGTGTCTTCTGAATTCTCACTGTCATAGGTGTCCATCTTTTTGGCCCCCCCGGGCTGCATTAAGTGAGGGATTGTCTTGGGCTACATAGCAGATACACAATATAGTTAATGTGTACAAGTAACAAAACCTCCTCTTTTATATATTAACTTATTGATTGTTTATTTATTTATTTTTGAGACAGGATCTCGTTTTGTAATTCAGGTAGGCCTTGAACTCACAGTGTAGCCCAAGCTGGCCTTGAATTTGTGGTAATCCTCCTGCCTCAGCCTTCCACATGCTGGGATTATAGGCTTGTGGCACCATGCCTGGCTTTTTATTTTATAAAATAACACAAGCCCAAGTTTAATAAATAAGAAAATTTATATGTCTGTTTAATAACAAGAAACCCTCTTTATAAACCCACACATATGTAGGTAAGTTGAAATATAATTACTGGTCATTGCTGTGTTTTAGTCCCAAAGTCACACAAGTGCATGTGACATCTGTTGTCACATGTGGGTTTTGATCCCACTGACTGTGTTCCTGGCTCAGGAGACATAGTGCTGCAGCACGTCCTCCCCCTGCAGTGTGCAGTGTTGCCTAGTGAGCTGGTACTGGGGCACTGTCCATCAAGTCATGAAAGACAGCACTAAAAATCATATCAAGGTGAAAGTTCAGAGTCTTTCAGGTCAGCATATCATGCTCTCCAGGGCTGCAAGCAGCTGGTGGGTTGGACACGACTGCTGTGGGTGTCCAGTGAGGTCTGCTTGTCCTGGTTGGTGGAGAGTTGAACATCTCTGCCCTGTGTGAGCTCAGGTTTGTGTCCTGGGAGGGTCTTCCCTTCTCTATGGAGCCACACTCTACCTGTGTGCAGAGTGTGTTCAGCCAGACTCAAGGGAACCCTAAGCATTTTTCTGGAGTTCTTTCTCTGTGCAGCTTCGCATTAAAATAATCACATGGAGGATGGAGATTGAATAAACATAGCTGTCTGTCTTCTTTTAGGTGGCTGTAACAAAACACCATAGCCTGGGTGGCTTACAAACATCTGAAGTTTATTGCGCACAGTTGTGGAGGCCAGAATCCAAGATCAAGTTGCAGGCAGAGTCAGTGTCCAGCAAAGGCCCACATTCAGTCTTCCCACTGTGTCCTCACATGCAGAGAGGGGAGGGAACACTCTGCAGTCTCCTGTGAGGGCACGAAGCCCAGGCATGGAAAGCTTTCTTGGCCGAATCACATCACCTTAGGGTTAGTATTCAACAGGAATTTGGGAGTGTGTGTGAGGGGCAGCATAAACTTTCAGTCTGTAGCATTGTGGATTTCAGGGTTATTTATTCCAGCATTACCTCAGCAAAAGTTTTGGAGAATTCTGAATTTCATAGTAAGGGAATGCTTAAATATAGACATGCCTTGGAGATCTAATGGTTTTGTTTTTCTGTCTGCAAGCTGAGAAGCCCTGACTAATATAGTTTCAGGCCACTGCAATAAAGAGAAAATTGCAATAAAATGAGTCACAGGAATTTTTTGATTTCTCAGTACAGAGAAAGTTATGTGTACCTTCTGCAGTAGTATGTTAAGCATACCATACATTATATCTACAAAAACAGTGTAGATACTGTCTTAGTTACTTTTCTTGTTGCTGAGACAAAATTACTCAACAAGTGAAGTTAAAGGAGGAAAGGTTTATAGTAAGTAGGTCACAGTTTGTAGAGGTTTCAGTTGCTAGTTGGCTGGCTCCAAGGCAGGGGACATGGCAGAGGGGCCTGGTGGAGGAGAAACACGTCAGATGGGCAGAAGGCAGCAAAGCAGAAGAGTAAGTGACAAGCAGTGACACTTTCTGTCCCTTATTTCTATCCAGGCTACTTACCCACACTTAGGGCAGTGCCACTCACGCCCAGGGTGGGGCACCCTTAATCCTGACATTGCACCATGAATCAATCCCAGCATCAGGTCTTAGATCCCAGTGTCACATACATGAGATCCAGCCACTTCCGAAAAGTCCCACCTATGACTCTGTGAGGCTTAGTGGGGACATCTAGATACAAGCCATAACACATACCTTGGTTAAAAATACTTGATTGGCTGGGTCTGGTGTTGTACACCTGTAATCCTAGCTGCTCAGGGGCTAAGGCAGGGGAATTGCAACTTCAAGGCCAGCCAGGGCAATTTAGACCCTTTCTCTCAAAAAAAAGACTGTAGTCAGCTGTGGAGTAGGTTCAGTCTTCATACCACAAAGAGGAAGAAAGCCTTCTTACCTGTTAAAAGTTTTTTGCATGACACTGCAGCAGTTCAGGCACATCTTTAGACTCCACTTCTAGTTCCTTGCTCTTTTTACCATATCTGTGGCTACTTTCGCCATTGGAGTCTCGAACTCCTCAGAGTCATCTGTGAGAGTTGGAATCAGCTTCTTTCAAATTCTTGTTAATGTTGGCATTTTGACCTCCTTCCACGAGTGACAAGTTTTCTTAATGGGATCTAGAATGGTGAATCCTTCCCAGAAGGTTTTCAGTTTATTTTGCCCAGATCCATCAGAGGAATCATTGTGGGTGTGAGTCTCATGGAATATAATTTTGTTTTGGTTTTGGTTTTTTTTGAGACAGGTCTTGTGATGTAGTTCAGGTTGGCCTCGAGCTCACTGCATGGCCCAGGCTGACCTAGAATTCACTGCACTCCTCCCACACACCCCTATCCCCTGGCACAGGTGTGTGGCACCGTGCCTGGCTTATAGTT